GTGTCAATGCGGAGTCGCCAAAAAAATGCGACGACTAGCCTGGACGATTCGGATCCGAGGAGTCGAACCCCGTTTCGCAGGCATCAGGAAGTGGCAGACAATCGCCGGACTGAGAGCCTGTGTGTACCGTACGACACATCCGAATGTTGGGTCTGTCGACGACTTGGTTGTGTCGACTCGTTGTGGCCACTGGGTTGGCCAAGTAGTATATTCCACTTTCAAGTCCTGACGGTCTTGCCTCCGGAAGGACGGGCGCTTGACCTGCGACGACCATCCAGATGTGTGCTCCTGCTGTCATGTGGGTTGCTATTATTCGCTGTCGCGCAGCTGAAGCGGTGTGTTCAGGAAGATTCAAGATTGAGTTATGATTTGAGAATTCGCCGGGCGTGCGGCGCCCACTTTCTTTTTTGGCTTGGGTGCTTGAGTGGCCGCCAGTCGGCTTTGAACCCTTCAGATTCTGGCAGATTGCAAAGGAAAGTGACTTGGATTTTTGTCGCATGGTGGTCGGGAGAGAGGAGGAACGAAGGTCCGATTAGCTCCGACAGCTTTGGAACTCCGACTGATCAGTTGATTCGGCGCTTCAAGTTTCCTCTTGCCTTCACTCCCGCCATATAACTTCGGGCACTGACTAACAAACGGGGACAAACGATTCATCTCTCGAAGCCACACGACTGGAGACCCTGTGGCATGTCAAAGGAATCGACAACGAGCTTGACCACACCAAGAATCCAGGACTCCTTGCGATACCGCCGCCGCAGTCCTTCCCTCGCAACTGGAGGCTCACGGAAGGGTCGCATCTGAACGCCTGTACGGAGGAACACGAGGTGGGTGCTCTTTCCCTTCATTCTACCTACAAATTCGGGGCGACGCAGATCAGACGCGTTATCCTCCATCTTTCCTCCATCTTTCCGTTACACTATTTCTTTCTTTGTACGAACTTTGTACTCACAGTTTGTTGTAACTAGTCGCCGCCCCACGCCATGAAGCAGCCTGAGCGGACGGTGAAGATGTACATGTCGTGTTTCTTGGGCCACACAGTGCGTATCTCTATCTCGAGTGGCATGTCCTTTCCCACTTCCTCTCCCTCGAATGAATTGCAGGATAACGCGATCCCTCCGCTGCTCTGCTCTTCTCCGCCCATCGCCATCGCCCTTTGCCTCTTTCTCGCTCGCCACTCCTCCTCATCCAGTCGCTCATTCGTGCTCATTACCCGCTCCCTCCCTCCCATCCATGCGCACAATGCTGACTCGTCCCCAGCCCCTCCGCGTCAGAATTCAGAGGCTTATTGACCCGGAGCAACTCATTTCATACCCGCCAACGACCGCTGTCTGCGCCAAGATGTAGAGGTGTGTTTCCTCTACTACGAAGGTCGCGCCGCGCGCCTCTGCGTCGATACGCCGGCGCACACACGCTTCCCGCGATCGCCGTGTACTACCACAAGCATGGATGAGTGCGATTGACGTCCGCGCATCCTCCTGCTACCCCCGCGCGACGGGGATGGTGCTTCTACCCTGCACGGCGTCTGCTCCTCCCTCCACCCTAATCCATTCCCTCTCTTGCCTTCCCTCCGGTATAGGCGCACGATACTGACGTGTACTTCTCGCCCAGGCGCCTCCAAGTCGGAACCTGGCCTGTCTCTCGCTAGAACCTCGGACTGGACTCGGGACGAGAAGCTGAAGGTGTGTATCAGTCTATGTCCTCTCCTTTTTTTTTTTTGTCTTTGGGGTGGGGACCACGAGGGCGAGTTGCGTAACGGGCGTTGGGGGTACCGGGAGGCTCGTCTGCGGGGGGGTGGGGACGCTTTCGGCGTTGTCCTGTACTCGCCAACAGGAAGGAGAGGCGTTGCCGGGGCGTATGCCCGGGGCAGAGGATTCAATGAAGGGTACCAGCGTTTTCGATGACGGGTGCTGCGACGGGGATATATACCCTCGAGACTCTCGAGCCCGACGAGCTCAAGGCGCGCGCGCGGCGTTCTCCTCGAGGCCCCGCGCATCCTCTTCCCCCTTCTCTCCTTCTCTCCCTCGATGTCTTGGCTACCGAACCCTAGCTAACTCGTGCTTCACAGTCAGGCGCGCGATCTCGACCCGTGCGTGCTTATCGTCCCCGGTGCGTCTGCATTGTATGGTCTCTTTCATCATCGTTTCGGAGTTTCGTGGAGCGGCGGGGAGCGAGCCCGGTGATGCGGGGCGGGCATGACGGAAATATCGGGCCTCTGCTGAGCGGAGGGTGTGCCTGGGTGTGCCTGGAGGAGGACGGCGCGCTGCGTTTTCGAAAGCTCGGGGCGGCGCCGCCTACCGTGCCCGACGATCAGGCGGAGCGGGTTGAGATGTCGGGCCTCTGCTACCTTAATACAGGGCGGGCTTCTGCGGCCCACATCGAGCGCGGGCAGTGTACTCGAGGAAGGAGGACGGCGTGCGGGGAGGTGTCTTTGCGTGGGTGGGGGGGAGGACGCAGCACTGTCACGGCCCGCGCGGGCGGTGGACTTGGGCCGCTGCGCGCCGCCGTCTGGCAGAGGTGGGGGCATGCAGTGGTCGTATGCGGCGCGCCGGCGCACATGTACGTAGGTGTATGCTGCGGGGGTTGGTGTGCTCGTGCTGGGTGTGCGGGTGCGGGTACAGTGCTGCCCGTGGTGGGTGTCCGCGAGGCGGGTTTGCTGCGTCCGAGCGAAAGTATCACACCGCGGTGGACGACGGGCCTCGGGATGATAGGCGCGCGCGCGAGTGACGCGTCTGCCGATGTGACGGGCGTCGTCGCCGTCCTGAGGATGTGGGTGCGCTGAGATGGTTGTGGATGGCGCGCGACGAGGTGTCGTTGCCCCTGTGCGCTGGAGCGGGCAAATGAGGCGAACGGATGAGGATGGGGACGCGATGCAGCAGCGAGTGGGCGAGGAGTGGGTAGCGTGCGTGACCTGGGCCAATTCGAAGTCGACTGCGGCTGAAGGTACGGCGACACACCCGGGAGCGCTCGGTGGCGAGCATGCGTCGGTGCGGTGGGGATCACCAGCACCAGGCCCTGAAGCCAGCTGTACGTCGGCCGACGCTCCAGGGAGGAGATCAGTGCCGGAATGCTCGCCGCTGGCTGCGTGCGCGGGAGGAAGGGCGGGAAAGGGGCGTGCGCGGGAGGAAGGGCGGAAAAGGCGGGACGCACGTGAGCGTTGGGAGGAGGAGAGGAGTAGTCAGACTCCTCGTCCGAATCGCAGGCTGGAAGTCATCGCGGAGCTGTAATGGGCCTCAATACTCGACGACAACGGTGGAAATGAATACAAGGTGCATTAACCAGGGATGTATGGTACACGACGAGATATAGTACATTGCGTTTCAAAGTCCGATTCGTTTACTCAAAGTCCACCAGTACCAGGAGCTCCCTGGCCACCAACATGCCGGTTATCTGGGTGGGCACCGTGTGCGACAGCGCGCTCGCGGCGCAACCCCGCCTCGTGCTCCAGCCGCTCCGCCTCGGCAAGCTCCTGACTCTGGATCTTGAGCCCTTGCGCTTCTTGTTGTTTCTGCAAGCCCTTTGCTTTCAGTGCCTGAAAACAAGCAAATTAGCGTCATGGTGTTGAAGTAGAATGCAAGAAGGCATACCTCACTCCCGACCAAAGCGCCAACCTTCTGCTCGATCTTGCCAGTGGTGGATTTACCGCCCCCGCCGCCGTGGTGGTTGCCGCTGTCGAGATTACCGGCCGGGGGAATGGAGCCTGCGTTGCCCATGCCCATGCCGCCGTGTTGGTTCGGCGCCATGCCGTGCGTCCCGCCAGACTGCATCGTCGCGCCGCCGATGCCCCCAGCCCCAGCGCCGCTAGCGCCGTGGCCGCCGGGAACCTGGTTCATCGTGTCGTCGATGTTGGTGTGCTGAGCGGTGCCATAGCCGTGCTCGTGCGCGCCGGTGACGCGGTCGTGGTGGTTCATGGTGTCGTCAATGTTTGTGGTTTGGGCGGTGCCGTAGCCGTGGGCGTGGGCGTCGGCGATGCGGTTGTGCTCCTCGAGCTATAGTAAAGTAATAACAATCACTATGGGTAGGTAGAGTGGAGGAGGAGCAGATGCGAACCTTGTTCTCATTCTTGTGGGATCCGAGTCCGAAAGGCATGGTGGTAAATTGAAAGGTGAGTGGATGTGGGGTGGAGGGAAGTTTATGAACGGGGATGGAGGACTCCGCTATTTGTACTGTTTACCGTCTTGACGTAGGGTGGAATAACGCTCGCGAATTAGTGACGCGGTAGTCTCCTATGGAGCGTGGAGCAGACCCCGTGATCGTGTTTCAGTTTGAGCGCTCTGGTTCAAGACAGAATCGCAAGCCAATGCCAGTCTTCAAGGAGCTTGAACTCATCGCATTGAAGCCTGAGTCGCTGACCTTTGAGTCCTGAACTTAAAATTAATAGCACGCGACTGGGCCACGTGACCGTGGACGATGGTTCTGTATCACAACAGCTTCCAGACCAAACACAAGTGTCTTTCTTTTCCTTCGCCATCTTCCTCTCTGCGCGTTCGCTCGTTTTCCGTCACCAATGCCCGCCCCGGTTTCTGCCCTCGTCGACTGGTCCTACCCGAATTCACCCGTTTACTAGGTCGTCCAGGCATCTGGAATCTGGATCCCGCATTTCCCATCGTTCCGACTCGCCCGGGAGGCTTCCTTTCCCTTCCCTGGGAGCCATCGACGAATTTTCGTCGATGGACCCACCTTCAGCTCCGTGATTCCATGGTTACTTGGAGAGGACCGCTTCCAGGTCGGTGATGTTTCCTCGTCGTCTGCGTCGTACCCAACTTTCAGACTTCCAATCGCACCCCAGATCTCTGGCGGCGACGGTTCCGAGAATAAGTGTGCGCTTTCTGCTGTGCCTGAGAAGAAAATTTGGACTCAATTCGTCCCACATCTCCGTCGTGTTTAGCTCGCTCACTTCAACTTGACTCGTATAAACTTCACCTCCAAGACCACTCAATTACTTCCAGGCGGCGGGTAAGTACGGTGATTCACCCAAATGCGCAGCTGCAGGGTTCAAAATATCGGACGTGGTGCACGGTGCACGGCGGGTTTCCTTGGGGATCAAGCTTGCAAGTCTTGAATTAACTCGCAGTTCGGGGTTCGACTCCCCGCGTCTGATTGGCCGTTTGGATCACTTTTTGAGGTCCTACGGAAGGCAACGGCAACGCTCACGAATCTCAATTAGCTGGTTTTTACGGTCCTACTGGCAAGCGACCCAGATTTTATCCCTGCTGCGCCCCCCTTCGGCGGTGCTTCGGCGTCGGAATGATTTTCCAGCTGGGTTCCGACTCTTCCAACCAACATAGTTCGGCGCGTTCAAAACAACCAACCTGACATCGTGCTGGCTTATTCCGCGATATGTCCCTCAGCGAAACCAACCTTGCTTGCACGGCGCGCGTTGTTGTTGAAGAATCTCAAGTTTGTCGCCAGATAAAAACTCGCACGCGGGGTTCGACTCCCCGCGTCCGAATAACCAGGTCTTCAGATATTCGGTTTTTGTCCTTCCGTGAACCTCACAAACCGTCACAAACGCATATCGCTCTTCTCGAATTCTTACCGTTTTGCAGTCGATTGTTGGAGTATCTCATTCCTGCCACGGTGCTGGCAGTGCCACCTTACGCGTCCATCCTCATAGGTTCAAGCGCTCCGAATCGAATCGATTATCGGTTCCTCACCCTACCACGTTGGTTTTGGACTCTGTTCGCCTCAAAATATCTCGCTCCTCAAACCTTTTCCCTCAAATAATTGTCGATCCGCCTGGCGGGCCGTTATCTAGACGCTCTCAACTCCTGCCGCAAATGCTTGCCCCTTTCCAAGCACCACTATACTTTGCTTGCGGTATCATCAATTTTTGGCGTCGGTCTTCCTAACCTGTATGAAAATCAACTTCCGGCGATCTCAGGCATTCTCACAGCTGCCCGTCCATCCACGAAGGACGTACGTGTCAGTCCTGTTCTGTTCAACCTGCGCTGACGATTGGTCCGAAAAAAATAGGAAACCTCGAAACCGTGTTCAAAACGGATCGAGCAACAGTGGTTGGTTGAACTTTGCATCCATTCCCGCGGCGGCCGCTCCAACCCTTGACGCAGTTGATCATTTATGGAGAAGGAAGGCTCAAAGACTTTGAATGCCACTTCGAAGTCCGAAAAATCTGGGGCTTGGACTTGACACTACATGGGAGGAGGGAGGACTAATCTAGTTCGCGTCTGCCGGTCGAGGAAATTCCGACAGTACGCGTAACGGTTATTCTTGACTGAGATAACTTCCTGGTGAGCAAGATATCCCGCCACCTTCCCTTTGGCGCGTTCAACTGATACAACCAGCAGACGCCATTGACCGCATCTGCATCGAGACCAAAATATTGTACAAGGATACAAGTATTCGAGCGGAAGCCCCGTGGTAACACAAAGAAGAAGTACATAGCGTGCCCGCGCCGTTTAAATCCAGCCGCAACCGTTAAACAATCAACAACGACTCCCTCTTGGTCTCTTGTTCGACGGAGGACGAGGGCGAGAACTCGGACCCAGAGTCCCCCTTCCCTAACAACTTCTCCGCTTTCCCGAAATCCGAGTCAGCGGCGGTGGTGTTGCTATAACACCCCGTAAGTCATTTTGCGTTCAATGCAGCCTCCCGAGGTGCTTACCTTTCGAACTTGATTTCCCTCCGGACCGGCGTAGCAAAAGTCATCGACTCCACTTGACTGACGCCGCCCTTCCGCGCCTGGCGCACGCGCGGCTCCCACCCAACCAGCTTGCACACCGCCATGATACGCGCCCAATACTCCGCCCGCGCGCTCGCGCTGAGCCCAAACAGCCCGAATATCGCGATGGCGAGGAGGGGCGCCTGGATGTTGTCAAAGTACGTGTTGAACGTGTCCCACGGCGTATCCGTGAGGCTGCCGTAGGGGATCCCAACAGCCGCAAAGTCCGCGTGGTTGGCGTGCCAGCCGATGTAGCCGGGGAAGGTGCCCGGGGCGGTGAGGGTGCAGAAGAAGGCGAGGAGGTTGACGACTGCGATGGGGAAGATTATGAGGAGGTCGAGGCAGCCGAGCGCGAGGATTCGGAGGTAGGGCGTCCGCGCTATTGTTGAACTGGTACTCAGGAAGGAGTCTTTCGTGTTTTTACGGTGCATGTAGACGGTTCGCATGATCATTGCTGTGTTATGAGGTGGTCAATGCTGTAATTGACGAGTGTCGAATGGGATACGCACGGCAGTAGAAAAATATGGAAATGAGCGGGGGGATGGCCGGAACGATTAAGATAATCACGACGCTGAACCAAGAGTTGGACGTGCTGAAGGCACAGCCAAAGCCCTCGTCGACAATGAAACGGGCGTCCTGGCATAGTGTATCTGCGTAGATGTCAATATTATCGTGGAGACGGCAATACCGAAGCGGAAGCATACAAACGACGGCAGTCATCAGAATTGGGTAGACAAGTCCCCATCCCCACTCGACGCAAAGATCAACGAGTTTCTGGGAACGGATGAGGCTTTAAATTGAGTCTTGGAGCGCTGGAAAAGTCGTACCTTTTTATCACTGGGAGGTTCAACATCGCGCATCTTGGAAATAATGAACAGCTTTCGCGTGATCAAGAGCGAAGTTATCGAGGGGAGGAATCGCATGAGGAACTGAAGCCGGGAGACTGTTGTTCGCCCAAGTGAGTATGTTTTGAGCCGGCAAGGTCAAGGAACGTTAACTCACCTAAATCGCAATACACCGGTACTTTAATATCCGCGTTGTTGCGCCACACCACAGCGTTGATCCCCAGCGTCAAATTATCGAGGAACAGCCCGACACAGAGCAGGGTGACGGCGAGGTTCCATGATTGGCGGATGTAGCTGTGGGTGAGGATGAGGAACATGAAGAAGGCGGAGATGATGCAGAGGGTGGGGTAGAGCGGGTAAGTGGGATCGGCGGCAGCCATGGCCATGGTGCGGGCGCAGGCAGGATTCAGCGATTCAGCGTGCCTCGCCGGCGTCGATTTCTTATATAGTTGGTCACCGGTGGAGCGCCCTGTTCCAAACTAACGACATACCCGCGGGCTTGGAAGATGATCATCATGATATTATTGAGTTGATAGATGGATGGGGTAGTGCGGCGAGAAGACGGGGTCTGGAAGAACTTGAACATATAAATAAGGCAAGAAAATATCCGGAAATGAGCGTACCTTTCCCAGCATGATAATAATGACCAGTCGTGGCCAGCTCTCGCATCTCGAACGCTGCCATGACCAAGTGGATAAGCGCGCTGCAGCTGCGATTCGTGCGAAAGAGATTGGGACTTATCGCCATGAGGGTTAGGTATATATATTCGGCGCGCGCGGTCCTTGCGCGATCCCTTTAAGAAAGAGCCGGCGCCCGTACTGCGTTGCGGACTCGGATACCATCAACCTGGAACGTGGTTCCGACGGGACCGCCTGTTCCAGGAGAGTGGCTATCCAGGGTAAAATTTCATTGAGCTGCAGATCCTCGCATCTTGACCATCAAGAGGAAGACAGGCACCAGATCTCCAAGAGTCAACTCAGTCAAGGATAAGGTAGCAGGGGTCAAAAAAAAAAAACAGGATGGGAGATCCGCTAAGCGCCTTGGATGACGCGGACTGTCGCATCTCCCTCGGCAAATGCGGCCGCATGCCTAGATTAATATTAGTCGATCCTCGTCCCAGGTAGTCCCATGTCCAGTCCAAGCCCTGCCTGCCCAAGCCCCCACCGTTCTCGGACTTTGAAGTGGCAAAATCTTCGACGAACCTTCTTCATGGATGATCAACTGCGTCGAGGATCGAGGGATAAAGCATGTGGGAATAGAAGTCCAACCATGGCATTGCGCGATCCTTTCAGCACGGTGTTGAGGTTTCCTATTTTTTCGAACCAATGGCCGCAGGGTTGGAGAGAAAAGAACGGTCACCGTTCGTGTTGGACAGCTTTGAGAAAGATTATCCCGAGGGAAGTTTCATGCAGGTTAGGAAGACCGCCAACGGCTTGCTGGATCCGGTTTCGAGGTTTCCTATTTTTTGAACCAATGGGCGCAGGTTGAGCAAAGAAGAATGGTTACCGGAACACGTCTGAACACGTCCTTCCTGGGTAGACGAGCAGCTGTGAGAAGGATTGTCCGGAGTGAAATTTCATCCAAGTTAGGCCAAAAGTTGATGCCGCGCGAGTACAGCAGTACTTGGAAAGGTAAAATATTTGCTGCGGTAAGAGCGTCTAGATAACGACCCCGACGCATCGGCAATTAGTTGAGGGCAAAGGGGCCAGGGACGCAGGACGCGTGAAAATCGGGCTACTCAGGGTGAACGTAAACCTTCCTCGAGGCGGAATGAGATACTGGATGTTTAGACGAGAAATATGCGGTTGAGGGTCGTTTTCTTTTGGATACTGGTATTTTTTTAAAAATCTTATTTTTTGAGGGAGTTATAGCCGTTGTCACAAACTGGTGGTGACTAGGTGAAGCGCACCATAGAATGGACTCGTAGGCGGGTGGTGAATGTGTGTGCCTGGAACCATGCAACTCTACAGTTGGCCATTGCGCCAGAACTCCGACTAGGTTCATTTCGGCGAGATATTGGCTGGCAGGGCGCCGCGAGGAAGAATTGACGACGGAAGATTGTTCGACGTCGGGTTTCATTGGAGGAGAGGGTTAAAGGGTTTGATCAATCCATTCGGAAGCCCGTTAGACTGCGAGTTTCATTTTGATACGAAAATTCCAACTTGAGAACGCTCGCTGTGCGCTGCGCACGAGGTCCGATATTTGGAACCCTGGTTGAGGTGAATTGTCCGCGGCCTGGGACCGATTGAGTGGTCTTGAAGTTGAATCGACTGCATTTCACTGCGCCTGACTTAGTCCTCCCTCCTCCCATGTACCGTCAAGTTAAGTCCAAACCCCAGATTTTTCGGACTTTGAAGTGGCTTTGAGAGTGCTGGAACCTTCTCCATGAATCGGGATCAACTGGATGTAGCGTCAAGGCTCGGAGCGGCCGCGGGAATGGAACGTGAAGGAAGTTCAACCATTGCGCGATCCGTTTTCGAACCAATCGGCGCAGGTTGGACAGAGCAGAACGGTTACCAGAACAGGTCCTGGATGGATGGACAGCTGCGAGAAAGATCGCCCAAGTCAATTCTC